GATCGCGCGACCCTGCCCGTGAGCAATCTCCCAACTCATCTCTGCTCCTATCAGAAATTCGTTGCGCCGCCCTTGGGGGTAAAAAACGGTGAAAGCTAACGTACGAAACCAGGGGGCAGCACAGGATGCGATCGCACAATCCTGCCCGTGAGCAATCTCCCAACTCATCTCTGGGGGTACATGGCCGAGAAGCGATATTATGGAAGGTTCTACTTTACCGACGACTGGGTGGCGCGCGGTTCTTTTCGGGATTTTATGCGACAGTTGGTACGGGTTACGGTCGGTAACTGACCTGGGCATGTCCTGGAGTTGCTTGGTTCTCTGCTTATGCCGCGAGAGGGCGAACAGCAGCGCCAGGACCGGCCGAAGGGACGATCCGGAGACCAATTCGCAGGCATTTACGGACACCTCATCCGCGCCCAGGGCCCTCAGGGCTCCCATGCACAGATTCACGTTCTCGATCTGAAACGGGAGACGAAAAGAAATTACAACCTCGCGGAATATGCGCCGTTAACGACCGAATCACGATACATATACCTCGGCATTGCACGATTATTATACGCGTTAACGCATTGTAATACTAGCGTATTCTTGCATTACCAATTGTTTCATTAACGCGCGGCTCACTTTTGTCCTTAGAACGTGACCGAAAACCGAAACACTCGCGGCTGAGCCCTCGACATCAGTCGCTGACGTCAGCTTCGCCATCTTGAAACAGCTCCATGCAGATGATCGCTGATTAAATACTTCGAAACTTATCGTCGGAGACTTCAAATCGAAATGAATCGTTGGCTCTCCGGTCCCATTTTGGATTTCCAGCTTATCATTTAGAATTTTCTCTTTCACAGGGTGACGTCGCAGAAAAATTTCTTACTTCTTCTGGAGCGCAGTGAGGCGGCGAATGTATTGGGTTGGTGCAAGAGTAATGGCGCTTTTGTTTTTTTTACACGTTACGTTACGTGTAAAATAAGCGCCATTATTTGTGCATCGAGCCAATAAATTTTTGGGAAATTTGATAATAGCCGTGCCGCTGAATCTCGAGACTCGAAGTGGCCATGGCATCTAAACCCGATGCCCTATCTAGCTTGCTTTTGATCCCTGACCACGAGGCTTAAATTCGATGCCTCGATAGAATTACTAGTCGGCCAATTAGAAGTCGGCGTGGTTCACGCGGATCGTGTGCACACGCGGATCGACACGGGAGGTTATCCGGCCGCGTGTTTCATACTCTCACGTGCGTGTGCATTAGTGTGCACGCATGTCGATAAGTGTACGAACCACCGTGAAAGAGTATCCAGAGAGTCACCCGCTTGTGTAAGAATGTCAACTGCAGTGTAATGTCCTTTTAATGCGCTTCTCAAACTGCTTTACCTCATATTCTCGATGATCTATATACATATGTCTAACAGCTACAGACAAAGCATCAGCAATGAGACATTACTTGAAGTAATCGCGTCGCAACAAAATAAATTAAAGCGTTTACAAAAAAGTGTGGCGAGAACGTAGATAACAGAGAATTTTATAATATACACGGCAGAAAAATATTAGGTAAAATCAATAAAATTTTTGTTAAATTTAACCTAAGAATATCCTTATTACAAGGCAACCGAATATTAGGCCCACCCGACTAAATTCATTGCTTAATAACTTTTTCGTGGATGGCATCTAGTATTGCGGCCACGCCGAATATGAAAATAATTTCGTAGAGTTGACTAAAATATTCTATTCATTCAGGGAAATTTTTTTCTAAAATTAACGAAACGATTTAACCAAAACGCTTTAGTCGATTGAAGCAAACGAGTTTGATTGTGTTAACCGAAATTCGCTTGACTCATCCAAGGCATTTCCTGAAATTAATGAAATACAACCAAACGATGGATTTTTTAAGACTAATCAATTGTTGCTGTTCCGCCTGCCGGTTTTTATTTTAGTTTAAAATCTAGAGCAATGGTTCTTCTAAAATGACCGCGATATCGGATGCCGAAACTGCTGCGTAGGTGGAACTACACGTACCAGCGTGTGTGCGGTTCACGCGTACGCGTGTGCGAGGTCCTATATCCCGCGGCACTCTACGCGCGCGTAAAGTTTCACCGTCGGGTGGTACTGGGTGAGAACGGTCCCCAGGAAAGCAGGGTCAGTGCACAGGTCACTCGATAGCGGATCAGTGGCGCCATGTTTTTCTTTGCCTTACCGGCCCGTTAAAAAATCGAGTGATTTAGGGGCCACCCCGAACTGCGTGTTAAGGTACACCTGTAATAACGCGTTAGGTGTAAATTACGCTAGGGGGGTTATTTTACGTGCAAAGTGCCCGCGGAACGGGGAGTCCGAGTCCTTACAATTTCCATCCCGCCGCGGTCGGCGTTTATGCCTTCGTAAATATTTTTTATGCCTTGAGACCGCTGGCAACGATCGACCCGCCGGCGTCCTCGGTTGCAATTAAGCAAAATGCGTCGGTCTTTCATAAAGAACGCCCCCTGGCTTTTAGGAGGAGCATCCGCACCTCGTACCCAGTGCAGCGCGGTATGCCCCCGCGTTGCACTTCCTCCACCCGCGTTTGTGTGCCCCGGCCATATCTTTTATACATTAAAGAGCGCTCGCGACGATCAATCGGCGCTACGGAGGCCGAAAAACCTCTGCGGTAAATATGCAAAATGCGTGGGTCTTTTGTGCAGGACGCGCCCCGCCTTTTAGGGGTCCGCGCGGTCGGTACTGCAGAGACCCCGCGCCTCGGCGCCGGTGCAGCGCGCGGAGTACCCCGTGTCGCACTTCTATGAAACGTGACCGCCGTGACCATGCCTACCTTGCTCGCACGCGTGCACCGCGCTTCTTTTGTTTCCATTGTTCTTAGCCACGGCTTCAGCCAGAAAACAAACCGTACACGGGGTGAGGTACACCGGTGACTCACCGAACGGTACCTACACGCGGACCCATGTGGCCACACGGACGGCCACACCGACGATGCATCAATCGCTGCACCGAGATCACAGAAACCCCGCTGCCCTGCACTCGTAGGTGCGACGCTTTCGAAGGAAAAAAAAAAAAGAGAGAAAAGCCGGGAAAGGGCAGAACTTTGCCTCTCCGTTTTATACTTTGCCGTGTTTCTACTTGGCGGGGATAACAAACGGCGAATGTCTTGTTAAGCGGAGGAACCAAACCCCGAAAAATTCAGGAAACTCGGCAGAGTTCCGCGCCAAATTACTGAGTATACGTACACATGTATGTGCGAACGGAACCGTAATGTGGCGTCTAAGGGTCGTATTTTGGAGCTTCTCCTAATCGTTTGATATTTCTCCACGTGAATGCGAAGACTGCGAGAAAGGTCTTGACGCGCATGAAATGTCATCTCTCTTATAAGATATTAAAAAATGCTTATGAACATATTAAAGTAAAAATGGAAATTTCATGGGCGTCAGGATCTTCCTTAGGAACCTCATATACAAACGGTCAGATTTTTAAATGATTCGATACACCCAGTTCGGAGAAAAGTTTCGTAAAGGATTGATCTCTCGGATGGCAACTTTCGTATCACCTTTGTCACAAATGCGGCGTCAGATGGATGTATCTACATCTCAGTAGTCATACCACGTAACGTTACATTTTTTTCTCAACATCGCTCGCAAGAATTTTCCGAGTTACTTCGATCTCGTGCACGTTTGCGCAAAAGCGTGAGAAACGTTCTATTGTCTTGGTAAGTACTTAGCTTGTATCTCGCGCCTTTCCTTCGGTATAAAATAAGTACGAGATTAGTCGAATTACCTACATGGTTAATGTAATTAAATAAGTTAATTAAGTAAGCCGGCTTTGTGTCGGTTTGGAAAGGCTGACAAAGCGACAGGGACCCGGGAGAGGAGAGGCGATATCCGAACGGCGCCACGGCGTTTCGTCCGGAATGTCACCCCGCTCGCGGATAACCATGGAATTGTGGTTATGGGACCTTTGCCATAAGAGGCTGCGGCTACGGCGTTTCACCTTCCGCCGCAGTCTGCCGGCGCTCGGGGCGTTTCCCCTCGACGGAGAATGGAGCTTGTCTCGTTAGACGCCGCGCGGGCGGATGGGGTGGACGTAATTTCGTCAAGGTTAGGATTACGTTACGACCGAGCTAATGGAGCAGCGACGAGAGTCGACGTCGGGACGCGTTTCGCGAAAAACGAGTATCCAGTTCGACAATTAATTCCCAAAATTATCGACTACGTAAATAAACTGACATCCTTTAAGAAAGGAAACGTAAGAATACATTAAACCAAGTATCGGAGTAGTTAACATGGCCGACGATAAAATATAAAACACCTGTACAAATCTCTGGAATTAGTCTACATTAATTATTCTCTCTCAATTGGATCCTGTATACTCGACGAGGTCGTCGAGCGATCAAAACTTCGCGACTGTCGAAGAGAGCTATACTTATCGGGTATAGAAAAACTGTCACCTTTCTCGGTAATTGAACTATCTCGGAAGGTACGTTAGGGGCCAGCAAACAGAGACGCGTTCGACCTCTGAACAAGAAATAACACCGTTATCCCGTAATTCATATCGAACCGCGTTTCATCAACCCCTTAAAGTTTCAATATTACCGATATCTCCGCCTTTCTGAACTCCACCTACGTATTTCCAATACCCACTAATATCGCTTCAACGATGCATTAGAGACAGCTCTCTAACACCCACATCCTTTCCGCATCCTAACATCTACCTCTCCCCCTGCAGCCATCTAGAAAAATCGCAACCACGTTCACTAATTGTGGAAAAAAAAATTCGCCCCTCGTCCTGAAAGACAATATATTCCACCCGCCTTGGGACTGGCGCGGCATCATTTCGAGGCCATAATCCAATTTCTCGGATACAGCGCGAACCGAGTTCATCCATTTCGCCCCATCGGCCATCCGGCGACCCAAAGGAGAGCGCGATTTGCATTCGTAGGCCCCACGAGCGACAAGGCCCGGTATCAAGCATGTTCCATCGGGCGGCCGATGCAAATGGAGAGGGGCGTCGAGTGCTAATAACGCGGAGGAAACTACCGGCCGGTTGCTCCGGAGGTGGCCGCGCATTATTTATCCGACGGCGCAGTGCCCGGCGCGAGTTCGATCGATTCCCACGCGGGGAAGGAACCGCGAACGATCGAGCGCCAAAGGATACCCCATGACTCCCCGTGACTCCCCATATGCGTCCCTCCCCCGCGGCCCGCGCGCCCTGAAGGGCTCCAGCAAGAGAGGGGGCGCCGTGGAGGGGAGGGAGAGAGAGAAAAGGAGCAAGGAGTAGCGAGTGGCGAGAGATGTCCTGTTATGGTAGCGTCCTCCCGGTCTCTTGCGGTCCCGACGTCGTTATGGTCGCGCTCGTGCTGCCCCCTCGCGGCGAGAAAAGGAAGCGCCCGGTTGCTCCTCCTGCGTAAACTGCTTCTCGTTGGTCCTTATCAAAATAGATCCCAAGATCCCGAAGCCTCCTTTAATAAGGGATACATCAAAGGT